TTTCTTTTTGCTTGTATAGTGGGTATTAGAGCATAGTCCACCACGCGACCCCACTGCGGATTGGCAGATTTGACATATCTGAAAAATTCAGCACTAAAAATTGTCAATTTCGTTGGATCTAGCACCGAGGTTTGATTTCAGGTTTCTCGAGTACAATGAATTAAAAGGATGCGCTCGGACACTGAGCTATTACGGCTATAGTTAAGGCAGCTTCATAACCCAAGTCGGAAATAGTGTTATATCTATTCTTCTTCTTCTGATAATGATCTTCGGGTAATAATGATTGTAAAGGTAAAAGGCAATGGAAACTAGGTCATAAGTTTTAATCACGAAACGTCAGGGAGTGGCCTGAAAAATAGTTGAGAGAGATAAAATAAAAAGAAACAATGAACGATTATGAAAATTTTATTCATTCAAAGAAAATATACAATAACAGAAAAATCTTGGATATTTCAAATGAAACATATCAATCTATACAACACTATAACTCTTAAACGAGACAATAAGGTTCGCAACATTGATTAACAATAACGTAGTGTATTTAAGTTTTCTAGGACCATCAATCAGTGCGCTATTAAATATAATAATTTATACTCATTACTTTTTTATTGATGTATCTTAAAGCTGATGACGTTGTGGAAAAATTAAGAGAAATCAAGCTGCCTTAACATTTCGCTTAACTTCGTTACATATTGTTACACTTTTAAAAGTTGATCCTTAAAACTTCTTACGCCAATCAGTAGGGACTGAGAGAGAATAATTTATAAGCGTTTTTACTTGTCCCTAGGTAAAAACGCTTATAAATAACATAAAGGCATTAAAAATAATTATTTTCATCATCAACATCATTTCAGCTTTTTTAAGCCCACCCAACATAGGCCTCTCCCACATATATTTTATACCCATGAAAATCACACGACTCTACCAAGAAAAAGAAATGCGTAAAAAATACGTTGTTTCATAAAATCAAAAAAATGTATATAATTATTGTATTCAATAACGCACAAGACATCAATCTAACGGCTAAAGAGCTTTCCGCCGTACTCTAAAATCAGCGGATACTACACTGCATTCCAACTGTACTCGACTGTTGAAAATCTAAAAATACATAAATAATCTCTTGACTCCGCCACTTTGAGTTTTTATTACTTAGAGAAGAACTGTTCGTCTTACTAACAACATGTTAATTTTTCAGAAAATATAACTGTCGCATTTCGTGTTTTTTTTAATAATTACAATTTAATTGCAAATCATTCAATGTATATTATTAAACATATTTAATTCCTAAATGGAATATAATGAAACCAAAAATAGTTTGCTTCGTTTTATTCCCTGTTTTATGATTTTTTTTAACAAGTGACACCTCCAGACAATCAAGTAAATTATGTGAAAATACATTTTTTTTATGTGAAAAGTTGCCAAACGAGCAGACGGTTGACCTGATGGTAAGTGAATACTCCAGATCCTCCTCTACCTCATGCACCAGACGAAACGCGAAAGTATTTGTTATACGTCCACTTTACGCTGGTCTTCTGTGAGGTCGTGGTACTTACCCGGACGGGCCTGCCCATTCGTGCAACAGCCGTGGCTGCTGCGTGGCCCTACCACCACGTGTTTATAACAATGCTATATAATATATGTTTAATTAAATTATACATGTTTAATAAAAATAGCGAGAATCTAAGAAATGTAACGAAATGTTATAACAAAGTAATAGAATATAATTTAAAAAATTATTACTGCCACTTATTTAAAAATAAAACACTAACCTTTAACTTAAAAGACAACTCGAGAGAGATCAAAACTCGTACGAAATGAAATAATTGCCCCACGCTTAAATTTCATCGCTGCTCGGAAGAGATATACGTATGTATATATAGTCAATACAAAACCATGGGAAAGCTTCTCTGATCCAGTACCATCATGTATTGTAATATTATGCATAACATATTACATATAATATTGTCACGCACACTTTCAGTGTGTCTTGCTTATACGTAATATCATAAAAGGGTACGGCACATTGTTACGAATCAGGTAGAGACGTTTTTCAAAGATTATAAAGTTCCACATCAATGTTGGCGTTAAAAAAAGACAATCGTCGAGTACAGTTTAACGAATATCTGCAATATCTAAAAACACAGCAATACTGATTCACATTTTACCACATCCATTGATTAGAACCGAACTAGGACGATAATCTAAACCACACATTGAAACGATTCAAGTGAATACTACAAAATAAACACACAAACGCTATAAATAACAGCTGACCAGAGGAATAAACAAATAATTGACATAGTCATCACATAGTTACTAGTTCCTGATCCAAGAATTAATTTCTTTTAATATGATTAAGCTTTCAATATAATGGAAGACTAAATTACTACACATCTTATAAGGAAATAACTTTAAAAAAATAATGAAGCGGCGTGCAAACAATTCCGTAAGTAAAATTTCGTGATATAGTAAAATTTAATAACAACCCGTATATTATCATTTTATTACTATATCTACATGAATTTAATTGGTGTTATCTGCAAAAACCCTCTCATTAACTAAGTACAACCTCCAGGCAAGTGTATGGATCTTATTAAATTCTCATTATACACATTTGCTCGCTGTATTTTGCGATTACCGCTTGACGCGAGTGTTATACTCGTTTACAATGCACCACCCTCACTACCAGTGCCGCAATTCTCAGCGACGACTAATAAATATGATTTTTTTTGTATAACTAGAGAATAAAATGCTAAGGAAATTAATACGTATAACATGATGTAAAATTTAAAGCACCCGGTTTCCGAACTCTCTCGTTTTGTAATAACTATAAAATCTCAAATGTTATGTGATGTACACGTAGCCCATTATATATATTGTCTATGTTTGTTTATATACGTTTTTATGAAGAACAAAGCAATATTTCCACAATGGAAGAATTTATAAAAATGTATAAATAAATTTTACCTTATCAGAACAAATTTCTTTAGGTACGACGAATTCCATTCGACTAGGCCCTACGCAATATCAGATGGGGATGTAACATTTATCCATTACAATATACCTTTAAAATTACGCAATAGAAGAATCACAGCATCCTTAAGACCATAATATTATTTCAAATAAATCTCATCGACGTATCGTAGGTATTTTAATTGTAAAATTTAGACCAAATTGGCAGTCTTCACAAACATGGAATGTACGATATGCGTCTATGCAGGTATCCGATAACACTTAACAAATATCGGCAGACGTCTATCTCTATACAACAACAACAAATTACCTACTATCGTCACTGATACGGTGCAACGGACAACGCCCATTCGATACGCAACCTATCTCAAATACGCAAAGGCGTAAAACTCTTTTCCATGGTTCGATTTTTATTGCTTTTTTGTTTTTATTTAACAAAAATGAGTTCAATAGTGAATCGGAAATCACCATGTTATATATCGTTTACTATATGGGGGCGTGGTTCATGAAAATCTTTAGTACTTATTGGAATAAAAACAATTATTTCCATTATATTTAATTATTTCCGCGTGATATTTGAACCGACCAGTTACCTATTCTTGACAGCCCTTTCAATACCTAAATACCTATCTGTCAAAGGCAAAAATTCTAGTCCCAATTATACTATTTTGTACACATAAATTTTTCGTTTAGTACATCACTTTCAATATCTAGTAATAATTCAATTCGCTAACTATTTATTAAATTTAATCGTATGAATAATAACGTAAATTATTTTTGAATTACATAGCTGGCTAACTTATTTTGTATGACGCAATGAAATGTGTATATTTTATGACTGTTAAAAGAAACAAACTAAATGTTATTCTTTATAATTAACTTATATAAGATAATGTTTTAGGAGTGTACGAGAGCAAAAGCAGCTAAGGTTAAGGGATGATCAAGGTCACTTCATTTCTAAACATTACGATTATTTGCTATAATAATAGTGTTATATCGGTCTTTTTAAATGTATATAATTTTAAGGAATGAACTTTATTTACATCTTTGCATTATTATTAACAGCGTTATATGTAGTTCATATAATTTAAACTGTAAATGATAACTAAATCAACATTTTAATTGAAAAGGCCTTGTTAGATTTCCTAAGTGGTAAGCTCCTTTTTTGCATAATCATACAATCTATTTTAATAACGGATGTAAATGAATTATAAATATTTTGTTATATTTATGAAATTGTTATTAAAGAAGTAGAATCCGTTTGAAAAATGCATCCTAATTATATATCTGAGAATCATTTTTAGATAGTTACGTAGAAAACTTTTATAGCCTCACATGTAAAAGTGGCAGTAGAAAAAAGGGTATTAAAAGCTTAAGAGAAAAAGCTCGAAACTCTATTATTAAAAGTGTTAACAATGTGTATAATAACACGGTTATATATTCAAACATTCATATATTTTACTAATTTGCATATTGACTATCTCATGAAGAAATCGTGAAGATTTTTTAATTTCACAAATTTGTTATGAAAACTTCATAAACTCCCCATTTTATAAAAGGAGCAATTGAGAGACAGTAGAATAGTTTAGAGGTTTAGACGAATAAGATTTTTGCGAAGCAAGGTATGGTGAATACAATGAGTAAGAATTTAATCAAAAATAACTTTTAATCCTAGTTAACGCACTTTGATTATTTTCCAAATGCTATACCATTTAAGACATTTAAAACATTAAGTCATTTAATCATTTATAGCTATTGCAAATCAACGTGAAAAACAAGACTCTAAAATGTCTTAGAATTATTTATCTATGTAAATCACAATAAGGCTTTTGACACTCATTTAACTCAGAATGTTTTCATGATAACAAAAACAAACGCTATCGAAAACTAACTGGAACACATTCAATTAAAGCACTATCTTCTTTATACATATTTACAAGAACATATGATAACAATGGATAACTCTGATAATTCCGGGTACAGGACCTGCCCTAAGTCTCTAAATTGCAAACTAATTATCTATCTTATCTATCTGGCGGAGGCAGTTTTGTGTCTTCAGGATCGAGGGACAAACATTCTCGAAGGAAATCTTCCATAGATCGGTACACATGTTCGATGACGCCTTTCAAGTCATGCCCTTCATCAGCGTATGCCTAGAAAAAAAATCGATTTAAAAATTATGTTGGAAAGTGAATTTTATTACCGAACGTATTTTGGTATGTCATTTACATGTCAGTATTATTATAATAGAGTGTTTTACATTATTACCCTCCATGTTGTGTTAAAATATCAGAAAGTAATAATATTAAAAAACGACTTTACAAAAAAATTCATGATATGGGCCTAGTACCACGACACTAAATCAAAATAGTGTTCCATGTGATTTTAACCCTGCTTAACAGAGTACGACATGCACTCTTATAAACTTTCATTCATTAAGAAACATTACTTCGAAATAAAACTTCAAGAACTTTTATCATGTTGTGTGGTGGCATTTGGTGTAATTTAGAATTATATTAGGCTTGAGAGCCATCACAATACAAAGCACCATATTTTATTACATTATCTCAATATTTGTCAACAAGAAAACTATTACAAAGGTCAAGTGAAATTAATCTTTCCAATCATCAGGACCAAAATTACCTGATATCTGAATAGTACCCCAGCGTCTGTTAGAGCTCGAGCCAGTTGAAGGGCGTGGGGGTAGGGTGCACTCATGTCGGCCATACCGTGCACCAAGTATAGGGCATGCGCCGGCACATGGTGTGCACGTTGAGATGCATCCGCTTCCACGTAGCCTTTATAATTGACAGACGGCTGACCCAAGATACGCTCCGTGAACGCTGCGTCTAAAATTTAAATATTGATCAATGGAATTTCATCGGTTCTGCGGACTATTTAAATAAATAAATTGATGAACTGTCACAGCCTATGTTGGTTGTAGATGGGTTTAATCTTCTGAACCTAACGTCAAGAAATCAATGTATTTAATAAATGTTCTTTGTAGTTCTCTCTTTGTAAATGTTATATGTTTTGAATGTTATTCTTTCTTCTGACCTTATCCCACCTAGGTACAATCGGAACAGCATGTAACAAATAATGTCTATAATGGTATTGGATAGTTTTTTTAAGACCAGTCGTCTGAAGTCCCTCCTTGGGGAAAAACATCCAGATGCAGAAGGACTAACTGTAGGTCACGTGCTGTGTCCCGTATGAGAATCGAACCCACGCACTCCGGCGCCCAAGCTAATAGCACCACCGAATCATCGATGCACGTAATGAATACAAAATAGTAATAGGTACATTAGATACAGTATCTAATGAATTTAATCTACTCACTATAGTAAAGCCAGTCTGTTATTGGTGATACAGCTATACCGCATTTCAAAGTTGATTGCTGTGATCCCAAGAGCATCGCTGTAACGTATCCGCCATAACCCCATCCCCAAACAGCAACCCGTGTTACGTCCAGAAATTTAAAAGTTTCCAATAAATACCTGTTTCAATACAATAAAAATATTGTCATAAAATGATGTGCTGACAACAAATATTAAGCAAAAGAATATCATTTGTTTCTAAAATTTATGTTTTAAAACATTATTATGGATGATGATCTATTAATAGCTATGTATAAAATAATAAACATAGCCCGCAAAAATAAGTTAGATAGTAAATAATTCTTTAAATTTTATGTAAACCTGGTAACTTTGAATGTATTCAAACAAAGTTTGTGTTTGACGCGCTTAACTGCAAGTTATGATAATTAATAATGAAGAGCAAAGCGCAGTTGAAGTACGGAAACCCGGGAGAATTTGTGGCGTTCCAGGTTAGGTATTCACATTTGTTGTGTATTTACAGGGGCATGTATATTAGACGAAGTGGTTTCAAACCTCGAAAAATCTGTCTTTTATTGTTGATCAAATGAATAAAATTCGAGATAGAATAATATGAACTAATTGCTAATCTTGGAGTCACTAATAATTTAATTAATTTAAAACTCCGAGTCAATAAAATTTGTGAATTAATGCATAATAAGGTATGTAATTAAGAACCTAATAACAGCTAACTGATCTGCCACTTCCACTCCTCCCAGACGACCGCGCAGCAGTGCTCGTGGTAATCCTCTAGCACCTGCTACATCTAATTTTACGTAAACTACGTCGTTGCGGGAAGACATGTATGAGCCCCAATCTACTAGGAACTCATCTGTTACTTGTTGACTACCAGGTCTACCGTCACTGAAAAGTTAAAATAGATAAATAATAATCATCTCTCATTACATGTATGTAATATTCAAGAGAAACAACAGATACGTACACATGAACTAGGACGGGGAAAGCTGCATCGCGCAGTTCTTCTCGCCAAGAAGGCGGCAGAAGCAGTTGGACTCGAGCCTTCGATCCACTACTCAACTGTACATCAAAAGACCTCCGGGTTGGCAAAGCTAGCTCCCTGAGTCGTACAGATCTATAATAATAAATCAATATATAATCAAGGTAATAGTTGTAGTTAATTCAATATAAATTGATAAAAAACAAATGTTCTTAATTATTGTTAATGTAATTTGGTGAAAATCTCACTAATGAGAATACGATCTCTTAGCATAATTATCGATACATATAGCAAAATGCAAAAATAACATGACTGTCACAAAAGTGATTTATCTTTACGTTCGGTCGAATCGAACCTTTTTGCTACATTTAACAAATCAGCTAATGGCTATTCCAACAACGTAAATCTTATTCAACGTCCTAAAATTATGAATACTTGATGTACAATATTCCCCAATCATTGCAATGGTTCAGTTTAAAAACAGAGTTGTAATGACATCTTTTAGAACTTACCTATAAGGTCGGGTATCATATAATATTCTTTCTAGCTTATGTGTCTTAGCATTATGGAGTCCTGCGAGCGGTGGACCTGGGCCGCCACATTCTAAAACATAGTGGGTTATGCCGACTTTTGGCTTGGGCGGTGAAAAAGTTGCTCTCCAAAATGAACAATTAGCATAGTGAAGGCGAGCGGGCCAGACTGCCAGTTCACATGTCAAGCAACGAGGCTCTTCGCGTTCAGCTCGAGCTTTCACTGAATTACTCCCTCCACCGTATCCTGGATCTCGGACCACGTATACCTGCCGCTGACCTGGTCTATCGGCACTACCTAAAACACAATCAGAGTTGAATAATTTGGTCAAAACAACGACACTGCCACACTCAATGGGCAAAAATTTTTCACACTCCCTTCTGACTCATCTAAATTTACGTGCTGTCAGACGTGTGTATAAATGAACTATGTGTTGAATCAAAAGCGATGTAGCCAAAATGATTAATGAGGTTAGTACTCAAGACAAATTTATGACTCAATAGAACGAAGCACTCAATTCCAACTCATACTAATACTTAATTTGATTTTCCTCCTTGATCATATCAGAACGTAGTTTAGGTATTTTTAATTTTTCTCTGTCTAAACCTTTAACGAGAAAAAAATAAAACAAAATGTTATATGTATAATACGTCACATTTTGAAATATTATTTTGATGAACATAAAAAAAATCTTGACTAATATCATATGAGTAGTTACCTAAATAATAAACCAAGTTGTTTATCTGGTCCCAGGCAAGAATTTCGGCAACTTCTACCCTTCCATGTGAGAGTACTGCCATTCGTTGACGTAATACATCAACATGTTTGATATGCGTGTAATACTGGCCCCCGCCCTCTTGGACGGCTGCTAAAAGTAAAAAGGCACTCCCATCTTCTGAGTAGACAGGTTTTTGATGAACCTCCAGCCATGGTTCATCTGTTGCTTTTTCTGAGTGTGTCTAAAAAGTATAACTCTTAACTGATTACACTATATATGCACATAGTAACTAAATCCGAACAAGCTATTTGCTGATCTTACTTCTGTACATGTCCAATTTGGTGCATAACAACTACTGTATACTGTTAGATTTTGGGCGCGGCTCATCCAAACAACGCCCACGTGTGAATTATCTTTGCCCACCCATTGGGCTGATATGAGATAATATTCCCTGTCGAGAAACAGGAAGTAAAATTAATGTTACCTAATACGTTACAACAATAAATATTATAAAAGAAACATACATTCCATCTAAAGTACTTGGAGGTTTCACTTCCCACCTCGGTGGAGATGTCGTGTTTTGTACTCCTACTATCCATAACCTAACTTTGGGTATAGAACTTCCCGGCTGAAATAAAGGAAATAAGATCATCATAATATGATTTCCAAAGAAGATGATTTGAAAAAGTGGTGATTAAAACTAAGATAGTAAAACGACCCAAAATAATCTTACCGTCGGATATCTAACTGTCATGTGATCAGGAAAGACAGCATGAATGCTATTGTTGAGGGCAGGCAATAGAAAACCAGATCTAGTTGCACCAGCTCCACCAATGCCTTCTGAAATCCTAGGAAACTGGAGCTCTGGTACCATGGTATCATTGTATTGAACGTACATAACCAGAGTGCCATCAGAAGATCCCCAGGTCGCCGATGGTGTTTTTGTCACCTCCTCTGTTTGAAAAAGGTGTAATAAAAGTGGCAAAATTGAATTACGAATGACGAAGACTCCAGAAAAAATCAATACATTTAAGACAAAAGGTGAGAAGTGTCATGTGATTTTATTATAATTATTTATATAATATTTTAAAAGTAAACATTTTATCACTTATGATCTGGTGTAATTGTGATTAAACACAGTCAGTGGCCGAGGCAAAAGGCTAATGTACAAAAAATACGACACCTTGATAAAGCCAGTCGGAGACGCCATTGTAAACGCTTCCGTCACGGGCGTCTGTGGTGAGCCGCAGGATAGGAGCACGGCGCGCTGGGGGCCCAGGTCGCGCCAGCACTTCGTTGTCAGCTGCCAATAGCAGTGAGCCGTCGGATCCGAGCCACGCCGCATGCTGCCACTCCCAGCTGCTCTGGCCCTCGCCAAACAGTGGTATATGGTGACTGGTGAGAAAATAAGATTAGTTTGCATCTCATCTTTCATATTCTACTCAAATGAATAGCATAAACAAGGAGTCAAATAATAAATAATAAAATTTATCAACAATGAGAGACAAAGAGCTGTCACTCTTTAGGTAGTTTGACTTTTAAGTTTACTTTGAAACGTCTGAGTAATAAATTCTTAAACTTTTCTGTGGAGAAGTTTTCTGTACACGTCAGGTAGGACAAATTACGATGATATTTTTGTCTGTTGAGAACTTTAATACCCTTGATATGGACAAAAGAGTCGTCTGTAACCGTCGTATTATTGTGGCTTTTCATTTAATGCATGGTATTCGCTGCAGTGTCTTCGGACTATTTGAGGGAGGACCAATCACAAGGAAAGATTGTATATTCGTTTGTTAATTATATTTGAATGCAAGTTACAAATGAGCAAAAGTGAGAGAGACACTATGACAAGTTATATAAAAAAATACATAAGCTCTAATATAGAGTAATTTTAAAATTTGTAAAACTCACTCATTTGTAACGTCATAAACGGTGTAGTAAGCGGTGAAAGTACGGCGGTACACCTGCAGACAATTTCAGTTAGTTAATTGTATTTCTTGAATAAGACAAAAATGAAATATAATGGGAGACTTATAAAAAATTAAGAAATACCTCTTTGATATTGTGTTGGAACAGTACGTAGCGTAGATTTGGAGAGCACTGATAACCGCGTACATTTAGTTGTCTCTGCGCAAATTTGAATTCAAGAATAATTAATTAAAATAATAAAAAAAGTATGTTAATGATGTATTTTCTTAAATTCTGCTTAAAATAAAATAAATACATGTAATAAATATTTATTTTCAATATTCAATTATTATATGACTTTCAAATAGAAGTGGAACTATACTCATGAGAAGTGATGAGTGGAAAATATGTTATCTTTGAATTACCTATTAAAGGAACGTTGTTTGTCAAAATTATTTGGCTTTTATGTGAAAATAGGATTGTGTTCAGAATAATATGGGGTAGTAAGGATATTATTTACAAGATTAAATCTATCTAAAATAACATTACATGTAATAAACCTAAACCACGCATTATGGTGTCAAGAACGCTAGCTGCATTTCCTCGCTGAATAGTTATGCTTAACCTTTGAGCGAGAAAAGAACCAGCTTTATTGTCACCACCATTATGAAAATTTAATTTAAAAATAATGAGAATGTACTCACTAGTGTGTGATTGGTGACGAGAACGGTGAGTGTGTTGTTGAAAGTGTTCAGTGCCAGCAGACTGCCGTCGTCCGCCTGGTACACGAGCTGATGGGCGCTGACCCAAGTGGTTGTCAAACGTTCGCCTGTTAAATCGCCACGCAGGAATTCGTCCAAGCGCATTCGACGGCCCGACCAATACAGCAACTCGTCTACATACCTTCATTGTGGAAAGAGTTATTAATTTATAGAGCTATTAGTACAGTTCAAAGAAGGCTCTGTCATTAAATACGAAAATGGTTAGAATTGTACTTGCCCCAATAAGTAAATAGCGGTGACTATTCCGGCAATCACAAAACTGATGACCATCAATGAAAATATAATACTTCTCCAGTTGTGGCCGTCTCCAGGGTACAGGTCCTATAAAAGAGACTTGAATATTGTAATTATTTAATAATTATTATATTCGTGTTTATTAAATGTATTTATAGTGTTGATAAAAGTGCTCGATAAAAGATTTGCTTTTATTTTTTTTTTATGTGAAAAGTTGCCAAACGAGCTGACGGTTCACCTGATGTTAAGTGAATACCGCCGCCCATGAACATCTGCTACACCTCACAGTTTGCAGATGCGTTGACAACCTTTTTGGAAATTGGGCTCCGGCTACCTCACTCACCAGACGAAACGCGAAAGTATTTCTCATACTTCCACTTTACGCCGGTCTTCTGTGAGGTCGTGGTACTTACCCGGACGAGCCTGCCCATTCGTGCAACAGCCGAGGCTGCTGCGTGGCTCTACCACCGTGCTTGATATTATTTTCATTTCTGATTAATAGAGGATATCTGAAAATTCATAATATGAATTCATTCGGATACACGGCTAGGCCATAAAAGATTCGTGGGCATGACTAAGCTTAAAAATATTGAGTAAGTATATTACAGAACAAACTTCACAAGTCCATTTATATTCGCGTATAAATCATTTTAAAATTTGGAATTGGTGAGTCTGTGGCGCAGTCGCCAAGGTATCGGCTTCGGCGTCGGGGGTCGTGGGTTCAATTCCCACACGGGACGAATATTAATATGACTCACAGATAGTTGTTTCGCATCTGGGTGTTTGGTATATCTGACCTCCTCTTTGGCGGACTTGGGGTCGGCGACTTGCAGCGTCTCGTCGGGTGGGAGGCGCCAGGAGCCTCCGCCGCCGCCGCCGCCGCCCGAGCGGTCCGTGTGGCCGGTGGCGTGCATGCGCCGCCGCCGCCGCCGCTGATGCGCGCGCACCCGCCACCGCGCCGAGCTACGCCTCCGCGCCCGCCTGCGCGACCGCTTGCGCGCCCGCGTCCGCGCACGCCTGTGGCTTACCGGCCGCTCGCTTGCGGCGCACGCGCGCGCCACACCCCATCACTACCAACAAAATAGCATACATAGAAATTTAATTGAATAAAAAAAAAGTTCTCTTTGCAAGGGTAAAAGATTAGTCGTGATCCATAGCTAAGAAAATCCAAATTTTTGGTTTTTACTAGCCCGCCGAAACAGTTTTTTTTGCCAATTATGACATAATATATAATTTTCAGGTGGGAGGGTGTAGAGATACATGTGTTATTTGGTGCGTAAGCAAATTAATATTATTAAGTATGACGCATGTGTAGCGCGTAGGCAGATTGACGCATATATACCGCAGCGCCGTTGTAATGGAGATTACATTCAAATTACTCGAAGACGAAGTTTATTCAAAGACACTCGAAGACCCGCACTCGGACGAAAACTGGAGGGATACTCTTAGGGCACTCGCCAGACAATGGTGGAGTCGCCATGCAATCACTCGCAGAGATGCGTTAGTGTCACAATATAGGGAGGTACAGAGTAAACGTATATATATATATATATATATATATATATATATATATATATATATATATATGTGAGAAAAGTTCCGAAATAACGTTATTTCATACAAGTATCTCTTAGTACTCTTCGATTACTAGCGCCGTGAAAATCGTAAGAAAGATTGAACGAGCGAATGTGAATGGCGTACGATCATATCCCTGAGTCAGTAGTTCCGTCCGACACAAGTGAATTAACCATCACTAACGTCTGGCGATGGACCGCGCCGGTTGTGCGCAGTGATTCTTACGAATAACGACATAATCGACAGCCACGATATCGTACAAGAAATTTCTAAAAATCTACTTCATTTTCCGAAATATATAAGTGACTCTAAGGACAGCATGTATCACAGCTCGCAGAGTCAACAACTGATGAAGAGCGAGACGAAGAAAATTCCTCGAACTGGATGACTTACCGTTGGTAGGCCTCCCACTAGGTGGGCCTAGGACCATCGTAAGGGTCGTGGGTAACCGGTGGATGCGAATGACCGGTATCGTTCATTGCGGCGATGCAAGAGTAAGGCTTTTGTTCAGTAGTGAACGTATTGATATATAGTCATATTGGATAACGATGTAGTAGCTAGAATGAGAATACGACACGTACTTTTCACGATCTCAAGAGATCGATTGAGAGCTTTAGAGTACTGGGAACGCGGTTCGTCGAGGGATTCGAATATATATGTAATCTGTAAATACAACAAACCGGGAACCAATGCGACTATTTTCTAACGTCGCTCTTGCAACGTTACTCATCGTCGCTGTCCGGAAAGCGGATAAAAATATTCCGCCGACAAAATATTTTTGTCATTCTTTGCATATATTATATATACATGGCGTCAAAATGGATCAAATAGTTTGGCGTCTATTCAAAATAACGCTGAATTTGTACTTTTCATAAGGCACCAAACTTACAGGAGAACTACAACACAAAAAAAATAATGGCCACAGAGCGAAATAAACAATGCCTATCCTGTAAGAACAACATCTGTTATTTATACCAAAGAATTTGATAAAGTAAAACTGAATAGCAAGCGGTGATGGATCGCAAGTTTTCCTTTGGTGATATGTTGCTAGTAATTTATTATTTTTAAGCCTTTTAAGATTCAGCACCATAGATTTGAGTACTTCTGTCACGGTCTTTTAGCAACGTCATGTAAGTAAAATAAAAAAAAGCATATAACATGTAACGCTTTAAATATCTCAATAACATCTGCACTGTAGGTACAATTATATTACAGCTTCTCCTATCTTGAATACTTCATGAAATGCAGTGCTCTCTCGACTGCGGTACAGTTAAATATTTAATTAAGCTCAAAGTGACCAAAAAGAATTTTTGTAAACACAAGGCCAATTTGACGTGTTATTTTTTAATTATCTTTTGCCACCTCATTGACGTTACTGCACACAAATTAAACGCTTTTTAATCATTAAACGTTTCTGGCGTATATAAACGAATAATATTCGATTTACGCAAATATCAGCAGACAGCTGATAAAAGGACAGTCACAGTCAAAATTTCTTTATTCAATATAAGCTTATTTTAAGCTATTTATGTAAAATCAAAAAACTACCACCGCCGGTTCACTAAACTAGAACTGTCTAGAGAAGAACCGGTAAGAAACTCTGCGGTCCCGCCCGCTGTCAGACCAAGCCCAGCTAAATTTATATGGATGCATGAGTACAGTGGGTATTGGAATTTTATGAAACGAATATTTGATAACTAGCTGCTGCCCGCGACTACGTCTGCGTAGAATAGGCTGAAGGCGTAACATTCAGACAGAAAGACAAATATACATAAAATATGTATATAAATTCTTATTCTGATGTATAAGCTATATTGTTGTTGATGATAAGTTTTATGAAAATCCATTCAGTAGTATTTGCGTGAAACAGTAACAAACATCCATCCATGCATACAAACTTTCGCTTTTATAATATCAGTAAGGATGCATCGACGACCTTGTTTTAGCACGGTGCTTGTTAATAGTTTAAATAGTTTTTGGGTGAAAGTATGAGACAGATTGGTTTTGGAGAATGTCCAAGTCTCTCGCGTGCCTACTTCAATCAGTTTTACATTCGTTTCACGTCAACTTTACGGCTGTGTAAAACTGCTATCTCGGGACGATTTTGAGATTAATGTTCTTTTTATAGGAAAAATATTCAGATCACCTCTCCGTTTGTTCACCCGAAGTAAGGTCTTGTAATATATTTCAGATAGTAAAACGAATAAGACTTAATGATTTGTATTTAATAATTGTAATCGGTAATATGTGAAACGTATATGCCAAATACATAATATAATAAATATTTTCGACGAATAAAAATTTCTGAAAATCAACACTCTTGAACGCCAACTTTGAATATTATATATTTTTTTTAAATATATAAATTAATATATTTTTGTTTTATCTAACATTACTATGGGGCAACTGGATACAGATGTCTCTCGGATAAGATAATCTTGCCGCATCTTATAAACACAAATTAAAGAAACACAAACATAGATCTGAAACCACAGGAGATTCTGGATACCACGGCTGATGAGATCGATGCCAAAAACTTAACAACTAACTTATCCCTGCATACACTTTTGCTACCTTATTATTAGGTCTCTATTATTTTGTCTGCAGTAAGGCTACGCAAATCGAGTTTTAGTAAGTGAAACGTAATCAAATTAACACTGTAACAGATTTTAAAATAAATTATGTTAACACAATTTTAAGTCGCTATTCATATACGATAGATATCACCATAAAGCGCTAAATGTTCAAGATGAACCGAAAATAACAAAATTTATATTCACACCACAGAGAAATTTAAAAATAGAAACACAAAAACATAATTTATTCATTTTAAAATGTTGATTTATTTCTTATCAGGCAGATTTTCAATTTCGCATAAACACTTGGCATACAGCCACAATTTATTTCAATCGTGAAGCTTGGAGCTTATGTATATAAATATTAACTTACTATCTTCTTTTTAACCAACAATAAAAGACATATGATATTATGATTTAATAGGCGTGTTTAAGAATATATTTAGCATATTTCATATTATCTATCAATATTTTCTCGTACTGAATCTTTGAATAAACATAAATAAGAATAAGCATTCGTAATTGTTAACACTTCGAAGACGTAGACCGGGCATATTTTTAAGCTGTAAAACAATTGGACAACCCTTGTATAGTAACATACAAATCTATACTCTGTAATAATATGTTAAAGTTATAGAGTTTGTTTTTTTTGTTTGAACGAATCTTTAAGCTATCTTTGAATTTATTGAAGGAATATATGCATTTCTTTTATTTGAAAGTCGCGTCTTTGGGCACTACTTATGTATATGTATTTACTTATGTATATACTTAATTATAAATATATAAATCTAAAAATAAAAGTCTTCTGTCGAATAAGTTCTTAGCAAAGGGCTGTAGAAAATGTTTTATCCACACATTTTAAGTATAGAAATTAGTTAAAAAATAGACTTATACTTCTTTCTACTTTTTACAAAAGTTAAATAAACAATCGAGGGAACTCAAAATATATTAATACAAGTCTTGACACAAATATCTTTACAGTTAATAATATCTTACTACGTATATAAAATTTAAGAACACATCAATGAATGAGTAGAAGCTCAATATTTGTGTACATATATGAAAATGATTGCAGGGTCTCTGTGGGGGACTACAAAATTACAGCTAGACAGAGAAAGTCCATTAGGTTTTATGAGTTCAACTTCGGAGGACGAAAAGGGGCGACGAAGTGTTGAAATTAATTAAATTCCATACTAAATTTCAGCTTAAATTCAACTGTAAACGTAACCAGTAATAAGATGGTTTTCTTGGTAAATTTTTCAGAGATACGACGTCTGTAATCAAAAGATATTACTTTTTATAAAACGCGCAGTATCTCTTTCCGACGCTTCATTGAAACCTGAATTAAAACAGGCGATGTTACATTTTTAGATTTGTCAAAGTTGATAGAAAATTTTAATTAAATAAATACTTTTTCCTATGTATGATTTAAGTGGGAGGACGCGTTTATACTAAATGATAACATTAATTATTTAGATCATGTCATTATTTATATGCATCAAGCATCGAGGTCACCAAACTGAAAGAAGACGTCTAGCAAAAAGCTTGCTATGCTACAGAAAGAGATACTGTATTTTGTCTACATTCGCAGTAATAATTTTAAATAATTTTAAATTAAAAAAACAATCTTGCTGTTACTTAAAATTTAATTGTAGCAATTTAGGTTTCCGGTTTCGGCCGAATGCTTATATGAAACAGTATCAATCTGCATCTAAATCATCATTACCATCCATTTCAGTCCAGTCTATTCCAATTCGTTTTTG